AAATTTTTTTACATAAATTAAAACAATTCTTTACAAATCAAGACTAAAAAGTGAACATAGTTATGATTCAGTTCCAAATACTTTAAGGAACTAAGAAATAATTTTGTGCTATGCCCATTAGATAAAGCCAGTAACAATTTTAGTCTGATATGTATCAAATGTTATATACAAAAGTCAAAGTATTAAAGTAACAAAGTAACGTATTTAAAGTCGCATTTCCAGATTAATCGCATCTTTGACGTTGCGGATCGTTTCCGAGGTGATGTTGAACGACGCCATACGCTTACCCACGTGCTTGAGGTATTCATGCTCATCTTTTCTTTTTTTTTCATCCTCTTTGACTTTTTTCTTCCCAGGGTTATGTGATGGCTTCCATGTTTTATGAGGTATCTACTAGAACTGCAAGCTCATTCTCGGCTGCTATGCAACGATTAGGTGGAGCTGTAGTACATATGGATAGTCATACATCGTCAGTGCAGAAGGGGGAAACGCTTGAAGGTGAGGGGATTACGGTAGCTCATCCTAGATGAGCTCACTTTTGATTTGTTTTGTAGATTCTGTGACCATAATGTCGAACTATGCCGATATTGTTGTACTGAGGCATAACGAGACTGGAGCAGCTGCCCGAGCTGCCGCAATCTCTTTCAAGCCTGTAATCAACGCTGGAGATGGATCTGGAGAGCATCCGACACAGGTAAATATGGGATGGGCCCAAAAAATTTGTTTTGGAAGGATGGCGCGATAAATTTTTTTTCGAATGAAGGGGCCAGGCTAAATGAATATTCACGAGCCTGGCATCTCATATTCACAAGATAATTTTTCAAAAGTTCTAAATGTTTGTCAAACGTGACAGGCAGAAAAACAAGCCATTTTTTACAACTCAGTAGCACAGGTAAACCACTTCGAAAATCTCGCAATCCACTCGGTACCGAGTGAGGGGTCCCTTCTTTTCACCACTGTTTTTATGGGTCTGATTTCTGAGTTACGTTATTTTTATGGATTTAGGCCCTTCTTGATGTATACACTATTCGTCAAGAAATCGGGACGCTAAATGGAGTCACAATAGCTATGGTTGGAGACTTGAAGAACGGCCGAACAGTGCATTCGTTAGCGAAACTGCTCTGTGTCTATAAGGTGAGAGGTTTTACGAACAAATTTGCTATGGAAGAGACTGATTTGTTCTGATCATTTTTTTTTTGAATTACAGCAGTTCTTATAAGTTTACTATGTTTAGATTGTTTATTTTGCCTTGAAAATATAAGCCTTTTTTATAGGACATCACGCTCCATTATGTCAGTCCTGTGCCAGAACTCAGAATGCCAGAATCTGTAATTGACTATGTTGAGAAGAAAGCTGGATTCACACAGGTTGGCGCGAACTTCCGATTTTAAAATGTTTGTACATTTTCATTTCTGAATTTCATGTGAAATTTTTAGAAAATTTTCACTTCGTTGCCTGAAGGCATACAAAATGTTGATGTGATCTATGTGACTAGAATACAGAAAGAACGATTTGAGAGAGAGGTATGCAATGATTTTCAAAATTTAGCAGTGAATTGTGTTTTGATAATTGGATTTGGAAAACAGCAACTTGCGTTCAGGAGGATTATAACAGAGTGAAGGGAAGTTACATATTGACAGCGAAACTGTTGAATGCCGCGGCGCGACCGCAAGAGTTTGGTGGCAATATCTTAGGTCAGTTTATGGTCGTATTGGTTTTATTTCGATTTTACTTTCATACGAAGCTATTGAGTTTATATATTCTGGGTATATAATAATTGTGGGCTAGTAATTCTGACGTCAAATGTAGTCTTCTTGCAGAGCCGTCTTGCTGGCAGCAATTGCGCGTGCAAAAATTGCCAGTGGGCGCTAAGCTTGAAAGTGTGCGCTCCGCGGCTAATTTGCGCTAGCAAACTGCCGGCATTACAAGCGTAGCGTGCTTACGCGCAGGTGTTGTCGGCAAATGACGGCACCGCGGAGACACTGTGTTTATGGACAGGTCTACTAAGCTATGCATACTGTGATATAAATCAGCATTAAATTTGCCAGTAAACCTTCTTACTGTTAGTTCCAAAGAAATGTGTAATCTTAGATCTTCATATAAGTATTCTTACCAGGGCTCGGCACGAGCTGGCTTTTGGATGGAAAAAAA